ATGAATGGATGCATGGATGAATGGATGGAAACATTGGAAATGGATGGAATGGATAGAACGGAAGAAGGAATGGATGGATGTAAAGATGGATGGCTGTACTGCCCATCATCATCGAGTACACACTTCATACTTCCTATAGAATATAGAGCGAAGGGACAGCTCAACCTTACGCAAGACCTATCAATAGACCTCTCATAACAGCAGGTTGCGGCGCCGCACACATGCAATCTTGCGTGCGCGCCCAAAGATCTGAACACGCGAGTTTCGGGCGGGATAAACTAGAAGTGCGGGACCTCGGCTACGCAACCAACGCAGCATGTATCAATGGCACACCTAATACTTTCTACTGCACCTGCATCAACATGCATCCATCGCCCGGAATGTCGTTGGACGGAGCTTTGTGGACCTTCCACAGGGTCACTCAACCCCCTGCACACACAAAGGAGCACGCATGCACGCATGCACGCACACGCACACGCACACACACACACACACTCACACACTCACACCACAAAAACTAACCAACCAAGCAACCAACGAACCAACGGCCTACTTCTCTCACAGCTCTACATGTTTACACTCATGCATGATGAAACCTTTAATTTCATATCCAGCCAGTGACTCCGGCAGCTGCTTGCTTGACAGCTTCTTCCTTTACAAAGTGCACCAGCGATTACTTAAGATTGATTTACCTACTTAGCTTGTGTCACTTGCTTCTCTTACTGCTGCTCCTGTTTTCCTCGACATTGACCGTAGCCTTCGCCTTAACTCTCCTTAACTTCTGACGTGCTCATGCTAATGCGTTCTGCGTCGGCGGCCTGCTGGCCCTTCATCGTCTGCTTTGGAAGGAGGTTGCCCGCAGACTGCTCCAAAACACCCTTGGACGGGGTCCTCCTTTCCGCGAGCAGCGTTCCATCGAGGCTCTCAGACTGCTTCGACGCTGCCCGGGACTGAGGACGGGATCCAGGCAGCTCGCCCGATGCTTCCCGGGACGGCTTCCTGTGAATGCCAGGCAAAGCCTTGTGCGACTTGGACTCGCTCTTGAGCTGTAGCTCCATCTGGAGCAAGGTCTTCTCAGCCCGGGGTGACTTGCCTCTGAGATCGCCAGTGCTCGCTCTGTCCAGCGGCTTGGGGGATCTCTGCTCTTCTTTGTCTCTCATCAGCCTGGAATCTGTCCTTGGCAATGATAGCTTGGATTCGGACGGCAGTCCACGAGCTTGTGGTTTGGGCGATAGGCTGCTCACACTGCCCAGCTTTGCGAGCTTGGAGGAGCCTTTTGGCGATCCTCGTGGCGTTCCTTTAGGCGAACGACCACTAAGGGACGTCAAGTCTTCGGAAGCCCAGGGACTCGTGGCCAGCGACGCCTGGCGGTGCACAGCAGTAACATAGCGGGGAAGTGGCTTAAAAGTCCCCTGCTTGGCTGTCGTCGGAAACCTCTCGACAACCAGTGCTGCTGCACGGCTTTTGAACTCGAGTTCTCCGCTCACTCACCCACTCACTCCATCGGCATCGTGCTTGGGGCCCGAAGGCCTACCCCAATGGTTTGCAACAGTGCGAGGTTCGAACCCTTTTGGGGGATGTGAGTGCGTATCCGAAAGAGAGCCTCTCTGCTCTCTCTGCTCTGCTTTGCTAGCACAGAAGGAAGGGGCAATCCTCCCGCCCCTCTCTTCAGCAGGCACCACCCGCGCTCCCTTGCGAGCTCGTCTTCAGCACAGTCAAGAATGCACGAGCAGCCCTCGCACCCTCTGTGCGCAGCCGCGCCCTGGTTCTTGTCTTGGTTGGGTGAGAGGCTGGGTTTCGGAGAAGAGGACTTGTTTCCACGCTCTCTCTATCTCTCGTTTTCTTTCTTTCTGTTGGGTGTGGAGCAGTGTAGAGCGGTAGGGGCTACGAATACTGCATGAACCTACACAAGAACTGACGCCAGAACCACCTGACAAGAGAGAAGTAGTTATCCCCAAAGGGACGGGAACGCTCAGTGCAGACGAGGTCGGGTCGTCCGGCCAGTCAAGGGACTTAACCTATGGTACGAGTCGCTATTCCAAAGACTTGTCCCCAAAAGAGCCCTGAGATGGTTTCCGTTTTGGACAGGATCTCTTAGCAAAGAAGTGTATTTGTTTATTGGTCCTGCATGTGACCAGTTGGTATAGGCTTGTGATGGCGTCGTGACACCTTGCCCCTCTCTCAACTCTTAATCTGCCGGGCACGCAGTCCAGGACTTTCGGACCACCAGCAACATTTACCGGTGTGGGAGATCTTGGAAGTATGATGCACCCGCACATAAGACTGCACAGAGTACATGGACTTGGTCGATGCGTGCTTTTGTCTGCTATCCCCTTGTTTCCATCAGAAACAACCAGTCCATCCGTAAAGTTGCAGGCAGTATAGTAAGATGCTTTCGTCCCGGTAGGCACGCGCCATCACGCGCCCACGCACACACACACACACACAGAGACAGAGTCTCTCTCACTCCGTCCCTCTCGCAGCCAAACACTCACCATGGAGCCGCCTCGCTTCCGAGCACGATCAAGTCCGACTCCATGGGTGTCGTGCGACGAACGATGTCACGGAGCGGTCTCGGAGCACGAGGGTGAGAGTCCCTGGATAGCTTCGAAGACGCCCGGACTGAGCCAGAGCCCTTTGATTCCTTGGAGTCCACAAGGGAGGACGTTCGAGAGTCCTGTGAAGGGCGGTGCGCGACCGGATCGTCCGATGCCGTCCTGACGGGAAGCTCAAGGCTGAGAACCTCGATTGCTTCTCTCAGGTAGAAGCACAGACATTTCGGCCTCGACACTAGCTGCGGGACGGCTCCAGTGGAGCTCTGTCGTGACCTTTGTTGGGGCCATGTCGCAGAAGCTGACAGTGCTTGAAATGACGTCGCTCACAGCATAAGTCTCATCAGGTGCTGGCATGGAGGAAATGTTGCTGAAGGCGCTGCCGGTGCTGAGGCGGCTGATCTTTCGAGCACCTCGAGGTTGCCACCGCTCTTTAATTCGCATGCTCAAACGAAGGGCTTTAAGTCAACCGTTAGAAAGCCTTGCAAATCTCTCAGGAACGAGTGCTTGCGGTGGTGATTGTAAGTGTCGGAAGTCATGCACGGCACTTGCATGTTGATTAGGTGATTTCTTCCAGTCGTCTATTGATATGTCGGGGCCATGACCGGTTGCTGCTGCTCACGCCCTGCAAATGCAGAGCGAAACTTTGCAAACTTTCTGCTGCCGGAACGGCTGATGCGCCTGACCCCAAAATCATTCAACAAGAAACACATCTAAAACTCCAGGCCATCGTTGAACAGCGTCTCCAAAGCTCTTCCAGGTTTCAAGCTGGGAAGATCTGATCCGCGTTTATGAGTCTTTGTCTCACAGCGCCGTGGTTCGGACAGTTGCTCTGCCAACAACCGTGCCACAGCAAATTAACATCGTAAGCGACTGGGGTCTGTCAGTCTAGTTCCAGAGTTTGATCGGGCGAGCATGTCGCTGGAGAGTTCAGAGGCCAGAGTGTCCTCAAACTGTCACGTCATCCTGCTGGAGCAGTTTCAAGAGACCCTAGTGGCCTTCACGGGCCCCCAGGTGCTGGTGCTTAGCTGCGCTAAGGCATCCAAGGCATGTCATGTGGAGAGTCCACCATCCTTCAGTAGACTGTGTCAGTGCCCCATTCCAACTCTAGCTTGCCGAAGGGTGGAGGGAAAGAGATGCAGTGGTGGGCAGCCTCGGGGCCTCACATCAAAACCCGAGCCACTCTTGCTGTCAAGCTCTCACCCTCTCTTCGTCCAGGTGTGCCTGTCGGCATGTCAAGTCCTGCTGACTCTTTTTCGTCGTTCCGCCTTTTTTCGACAACCCGGACTCACGCCTTCAATCGATAGAACCCGGCCAGGTGAGATCAGAAGAAATCGTTGACAGTCGCGCGGCGACCTTCCGTCTCGTCACGTTGACTGCCGTATGGCCAGCGGCACTTCTCTTCCCATTCCTGCGCGCTGCCGCCCGCGTGAAGATGCACTCCCAGGTCATGGAAGGGGATCAACTCCCTGCGACCAGGTGCCCAGTAGTCGGCCTCCCAGGTAGGCACTACCCGAAAGCAAAGGTCACGGGCTGTGAGCTCCTGATCCTCTAGCAGGCTCTGCAAGTGCCTCAACCTGTTGGAGGCTGCTTTCGCTTCGGATCTGCTTCGTGCCAAGGAGGCACCAGGCACGCTCAGGAGCTGCTCAAGGAAGCATTCCACTGTGCTGGCATCGAGCGACCTCAACGCAGATGCGACGGAGGGATGCAGGATCTCGGCAGCCTGGGGCAATTCAACACAGGCCGGGAACCAATATGTGAACTGGCCGATCGTGCCGTCACTGTCGTCGAAAAGAAGCAACGCATCGCTAGGAAAGCCATTGAGGACTCGTGTCGAATCAATACTTACCAGCTCGAAAGAGGCATCAGCCTCGCCGGCCGTCTTCTGCCTCACCATCAAATTCGACGGGCCTCCGTCACGCTGCAGTGTTATGCATGCCAACATGCAAAGTCGATGTATGTTTTGCACATCCAAGCACGATACAAGCCTGAAAAAGTCGGCATCCGTGGGCTCTTGCCGGGTATAGGTGTCTCTGAGAAGGGCATCTACACCACAGCTTGGCCCACTGGGTGTGGCAGCGTACGCCTGTAGAAGGTCAACGGATCCGAAGAAGTTGGCTAGGCGAGAAGCAGGCGCAGTAGGTGCGTGCTCGGTCTCTCCAATGAGAACGCACTTCTCCATCGTGACCCACATGTTGGCGGGCCATGTCTTGCAGTTCTGCTCCTTCTCATGTACCCATGCAGCCGTGTGCTCTCGTAGTACATCCAGTACACTGAGACTGGAAAAGTCGGCGAGCGTCAATGGCAAGTCCACTGCTATACACGGGGCCACCACGTCACTGAAGCCAAGCCACTCGGCGAAGACATAATTACACTCCTCGCGAAATGGTATGCCCGGCAGCTCCCCACGATACTTAACCATGGCTTCCGGGACACCCTTTCGCAAAAGCATGCCAACGAAGCCGCTTTCGCCGTTTGGCTTCACGAGCTTCACTTCCACATCCGCACTGAGCGCCGATTCGCTCAGGAAGTTTCTCAAAGCCAAACATGCGCGGGGCAGCGGGCGGCCCTCCCAACATGTGGCCAGAGTACGCTGCACTTTGTTACGAGCGTCGATGACAACCCCTTCGCACCCTTGTTCAGAACGTTGAAGCTCGTTGGCGAGCTCTAGCAAGCCAGCTGCTAGCGAAAGCGCCGGCGGCGCCACTGGAGACACTGCCATTTCTAGCCATACCGGATTCGGAGAGGCTGAGCAAGCACCCCAGTGCACGATGGAACAACTGACTATCTGTTTCAGTTGTCGTTGATAGTAAACTACTAAACAACTCATGCTTGGTCCAGTGCTTCCAGCCGCCCGACATGCACAATCAATCACTGAATATGAGATGGTGCGGCTGAGACAAAATCCGGAATTGCCACGTGTTTATGTCTGAGGTCGCGGCTTGACGCATCGATTCTCGGAAGTGCCGAGTCTGGTGGAGCGAAGACATCCAACAAGGAGGGTGTAGGCGGCGAGTCTGGCTTCTCCTTGGGGATTGAATCATCAGCTCTGGCGGACTCTAGCGGAGTCTAGCAACATGCTGTCAAGATCTACAAGTCTACAAGGCTTCATCACCGAGGTGCTTCTTCCTCCTGCACCACGATTTTCCAAACTGCCTGTAGTCGGTCGGACATGGCCTCACCAGTCCTGACGGGGAAGTGTCGTCATCGTTTCAAGCCTGGGCTTGTTGCGGAGCCTTTGCCGACCGTCATTGGTCAACAGTAACTCAGCCTGACGAGGGCAAAGCTGCTCTTGTCAGCTGACCCAAAGCACTCAGGCCTCATCTTCGAAGACAAAGCGTGACGGCTTCAGGGTGGGCTTCGCCTGCCCATCTAGGCTCCACTGAATTATCTTGGAGGAGAACGGTCCCCTGGCCGCTCTAGCCTTTCTGTGGTCTCCGCTGTGGCCAATGCTTCCACCGAAAGTTGGATCTCGAAACAATGGCGTCCATCGAGTACGGCTGCTTCGTTTCACCGGCAAAATCGGCGCAGTCGGTGCGGGTGCAGAGGCACTCTTCTTCAAAGAGCGAGCGGCCCGGCGCTCCTGCTCAGGCAGGGAAAATCCCAAGTCGCACTCTATCGCAGGCACTTGCCGAGCTGCACAGGTTGAGCCGTACAGACGACCAGTAAATATTCTACATTCTACAGTGCAGCCAGGATGCGACGTTTTCGGCTGCATCTTCCTGGGCAGTACACGCCACCAAAAACCAATGACCGTCAAACAAGGGCTCTGCCAAAGTTTGTATTTCTATCACGACATTGGCACAACGTACAGTCACCACGAGGCAAGCTGAAAAACCATCAGTGGACACCGCAGAGCAATCCACAGAAGCGTGCGCACAAAAGTATTCGCATGCCAACACCGCTTGAGCTGGGTCGCTTCCGAAGCAGCCAGCGCCGGCTGGTTAGGCTGCCGGCTCGACATGTCGCAGCATCATTGCGCAAAACGCAGATCGTCCTGCCCCGAGTTTAGAAAACGCATGAATTAAGTTGTGGTTGCGAACGCCTCATCTGGCAGCGACCTGGTAGTGCCAGACAGGTTGCGTACCGCAGTTTGCTGATTTATACACCGTTAGACCGTGAGACTCCGAAAAACTATACTGTACTAGCTACACCACACGACTCTCCGGGCTGAAACTTCACGTGCACTCATGAACTAAATATACTAGATAGATCCAGAAAATGTTGTTTTGCTGGGCGCTCCGCTTCGGCCGCCTGGTGCACAGATCAGCTTTGCTGAGTCGGCACCTTGAGCCTTCGACACCCTGAGAGCTTCGACAGCTCCAGCAGTACCTGTGCTTTGCTTGAAGCTCCCTCTGTCCCTCTGAAATGGGTGAGCTTCCAAGGAGGCACTGAGCACACCGAGACAGGAATCTCTGAAGAGCTCAAGGCTGAGCCCCGCTCCAGCTGCTTCTTTGTCTCAACTGGTTGCCAGGAGAAGGGTCCTGTCTCTCGTGCATCTTTGGGATTCACAAGGTACGTGACCCAAGCGAAACGATGCTTTCAAGGGGCCGTCGGGGCATTCTTCCAACGTGCTGAGCGTCGGCGGCAAGCGAATTCCCTGCCTGAACGCAGCTGATTTCAGAGGCAAATCGTTGAAAATTATTGCAGCCGGCAGGCGGGCCAAGCTGCTTCCCACTGGGTTTGTATCTGAAGGTGTAGACCATATCTCTGTCCGCCTCAGAGTTCCCACCCCCAGGTCTTGCAAGGATCTAAGCATCGCTCGGTGTGCTCTGAAACTGTTCTGGGGCCCCAGCCCGTTGGGCGTTGTAGTTCTCTGACTTGCCAGGGCGGCGACCGGAATCACGCCTGCGCAAGGAGAGGACAACGTGAGACCAGGTAAAATGATGGCAAATATGTGAGCCGCGACAAAACTGCTCGGACACCGACACCTCTTGCAGACCCGAATTGCTCTCATCTGGCCTGTCGCCATACGCCCGGCCATAGCGATGAAGATTCCATTGGAGGAAAGGGACTGTTTCCACCTCATTGTTGGCACGCAGGCAGCAGTAGAATAACATGAGTGGGTAATCAGATAAGCTTAAGCAATGCGTGCATGAACTGACAGGACTTACACAAAACACCTGCACAAACTGGGCAGACATGAGTTAAAGACTGCCGACCGGGAGTGAAAGCCGACGTTTATCTTCGCAGTCGAGATGACGCCCCTCACTCTTTGGAGAGAGTCCGTGTCCCTCGTCGTCAGCCGTCTTCGCAGACCCCACGATGACAGGAGCAGGCAGAAAAACAGCCGCGAGCACCCGCTCCTGGCAGGCTTGCAGAACCGAAATGCCACAGCCGCAGGCCCTGAAGCGATGCCGCATCTGTCCTCGTGACCACTGAAGATTCGAAGGCACTCCTCCGTTTCCACATCGAAGAGCCGAGCAGTCCAGTCACCCGAGGAGGTCAGGACAGCATCGCCTGTCTCTGCCTAGGCCCTACTGTGGGAAAAAGGCTCCGGAGCCGGGGCCTCCAGGGGAGAAGATGGCGGACCAAACCAGGCCTCTTCAAGGTACTGCAAGCAGGGGAACTCGCAGTGCTGGCTGGGGACGCCTGGCCTGTATGTCCTGGGAAGGTCCTGCTGTCGCGGAACGTGCGGCGCAGGTCAGGCTTCCTACATTGTATCCTACATGCACCAAATCGAACCCACAAGCATCAGAAGCATGCTTCAACCTGTCCTTGTGCACCTTCCATCGGAGACTGCAAAGATC